AGATTTCGGATGATAAGTTTTGTTATATGCCTCAGTACACTGATTGCCCGATAGAGTTCACATTCGTTTACACCTGGCTTCTTAGGCAGTGCTATAAAAATGGATCTACTTAGGTCTTCCGGTATATCAGCTCTGTTGTATATTTCATTTATTATGTCTGTAATTTTGCCAATGCCGAAATCATCTAAAACTGCCAGCATCTCTTTTACAATTCCAGCTAATGCTGCTTTGTTTCTGTTCACATTTGTCGTCCTGGGTATGATGATTAGAAGGTTTTGAGGAGCTTAGAACCACTTCTTAATTGCTGTTGTTCCAAGATCCACCGTAACCAGCGGTGTCAGTAATTGTTAGGGTCCCAGCTATGGGCAAATAGTAAACGCCCAAACAAAAATCTAGAGTACATTTTTATAATAAAATGACCATTATTATAGTAAACTTACTAACAATATGTTTTAAGATCTACAAACTGTATATGTAAAAACTTACCATTGCACTGAAAAAATAAAATTATGTAGAACATAGGTTCACTTGGCAAAACAAATCCACAATTCGCGTCTCAATTTCAAATACGCCACTCCTCGTCACAAGTCAAATCTCCTCTTGAATGAGCGTACCGTGTTTTTATACACCTGACCTAGCCATCGTTTAGCTAATGAGCGTCCAGAACCAGTCAATAAAAATGGCTACAAGAGATACTATCTCTTCCGACAACATGAAGTGCTACCCTATTCACCTTCAGTCCGAAGCTCAGCGATTCGCCATCTCCACATTCCATTGCAAAAAATACACGCGACTCTGTCTCTTTTGAGTCGCCGAGTTAAGTCTCCGCTACAAAAAAATAATATGGATTTAATGAAAATAAATAACACTAAAGATTAACCATAATTTTTCGCTTTCCCTTGTACGTTTCCTCCAATCACCGAACCAGCATAAATAAGTATATGAAAATTGGTCGGAAGCAGACACGGGAAAAGGAAAAGAAAAAAATATATCCGAGTCCAATAGGTCAACTTTGCAAAACAATTCCCCAATTCTCTCTGCGTCTCAATTTCAAATACCCCATTCCTCGTCACAAGCCAAAACTGCCCTTGAATGAGCGACCGTGACCCAGCCATCGTTCAGCTAATGAACGTCCAGAACCAGCCAATAAAAATGGCTACAAGAGATACTACCTCTTCCAACAATACGAAATGCTGCCCGATTCACCTTCAGTCCGAAGCTCGCCGATTTGCAGTCTCCACACTCCATTGCAAAACATTACACGCGACTCTGGCTTTTTGGTTCGCCAATGTAAGTCTCCGCTACAAAAAACAAACCAATCAATTCAATTTCTTTGTCTTTGTAATTCTTCCAAACTCTTTGAATGACTCGTCAGGATATGCAACAGATTCGCTAAAGAATCAAAAGTAATAAAATGAAAGCCATGAATTTAAATATTCTGTTTGTATCTTTTATATCGGAACTTTTGTTCACTTACTTAAAAATCCACGACACACGGAACGTATAATTAGCAATATCAGATAAGAAGCCTTTAAGAAACTGTCGGAAAATATGTTATCCAGAAGGAAGATATATATATATATATATATATATATATATATATATTCTTCCATTTCTTTATCTTTTCCATGTTTTCCATCTTCAGAACTTTCCACTCATTGTTATTCATGAATATTTTGCTGTTTATTTTCCTCGTAAAGTCCCCACAGCTATATCGTTATCTTCCGCATTCTAGAACAAGAAGGTCATAATTAGTAGGTGGAAGCTGTCAAGGCTAATAATGGCGGTAACAGCTTTGTGCTGTTGCCTCATCGACCGGTGACATAGATATAGGAATATGGTTTGATTACTCCATTTCTCCTGTGTCAATTGTCGTAGCACACTAGTACTCACTAGTCGTTTTCTCAGCATATATGATGATAGTACTGATCTCAGGGAGAATTAGGTTCATGACTTTCTTAAGTATCTCAGGGCAATGGGAACAGAAATCACTACCTTGTTTAATAAGACACTGCCATTTTGTGAACGGTAACCTTTGTGCGTACTCCAAGATAATAATAATAATAATAATAATAATAATAATAATAATAATAATTGTTATGGGACCTTACCCATAATAATATAATGGACTATTCCATACGTAGTAAATACTGCGACTCAAGAGGAAGCAGGGAGTTCAGTCTGAAGTCTGGAGTGAGGTCCGTCAGGAGTCTGTCAGTCAGTCAGAGCGAGCGAGTCAGTCAGTCAGTCGAGTCAGAGGCAGTCCGAAACAGAGTCGCGTTCAGACAATTGCTACAAGACATTGGAATAGTGATACTGGTCGAGACTACATTGTTCTCTCTACTAAACCTGATTCTTCATACTAACACTTTCTACTTCTCTGTATATATTCCTGTGTGTTATTCCATACCTGTGTTCGAGTTCTTCTTTATTGGTTCTACCTTGGTGGACCATCACTGTGGTACAAGAACCTGGACCATAATCTGTGTTGAAGAACATGGAGAAAATAAGAAACTTTGTCTAGTAAAGCAACATGTTCAAAATGGAGGTTGAAAGAGGTTGAAGAAATGCAAGTAAAACATAATGCAGTGACTGCAGCTGCCAAATAAAGTGGGGTTAAATAAAGATCGTACGTATGAAAATATTTCTTATTTTTATTTATAACATATTAAATTAATGAATTGCAGATTGCATATTAAAATGTATGCATATAAAACTAAATAATATTCCATGGTTAAGAAAATACAGCAATATTTAAATTTTTAGGGGTTTAAAAAATGATCGTACAGCAGAACATATTTTCTCCATTTAATATTTTGTAGTAAAGCCTTTATTAAGTTCAACAGCAACCAATCTCTTCCTGGAGTCTTTAATTAACGATTCGCATACTTTAATAGGTATTTCGTCCCATTCTTCCTGAGTAATTGTCTTCAGGTTTTTGATGTTTGTTGTGGACTTCTATCATGGATCGTATTTTTCAAAAATCGCCATAAATTCTCTATTGGATTCAAATCCGGCGATTGACTGGGTCATTGTAAGATGTTAACGTTGTTATTAGCAAGCCAATTTTTCGTACTCTTAACATTATGCTTGGGATCATTGTCCTGCTGGAAGATCCAATCAAGAAGAAGCCCAAAATTCTATACAGAAAGCGATAAATTTTCGCTTAGGATTTGTTGATGTTTTTCTGCATTCATTCTACTATCTGTAATTGCTAGTTTGCCCCCAAATACATATATAACATTGTTATTCGAGGTTTTCCTTCGCTATAAGTGAGAATAACAAACATTTGTTTGCTGTACGATCACTTATTCAGCCCCACTGTACATAGAAAAGTAAGCAAAAGCAAATGCAACCGATCAGATACAGTAACGATGACAAGATAAAGCTCTTCACGGCCCATATGCTTCCCGCACCAAACAAGCAGATGTACACAAATCAAGGACCCGTCAGTAGCTATGTAGGACAGGGCCAAAAGCTGAAACCGACAGTTTTATACTTGCTGCACAGGACAAATGCTTTCTAACTAGAAATCTCCAAGCACACATATTGAAAGATTGACCATCTTGCATCAGGTTTCATGATATTGGCACCCAATGAATGTAAAAGTCGGTATGACTCAGTGGGTCAATATCTGCATTAGAAAATATGCAAGGTTTACGGAAAGGTAACGGCAAGAAATTGGTATGAACACCACCTAAACCTGGTTTTTACGATAGAACCTGTAACAAATTATGGAACTTTACAATACACGAAGAGGGGACAATAAAAGCTTATCGCCATGGCATCATGATCAGAGACCACAAAAAAAAAATATGCTTCCTTATTGACATGACATTCGTTGCAGACTGAAGATCTTCAAAAAACTATCAAGCAACTTGAAATCTAAATCTAAAAAAATGTGACCCACATTAACAATTTCAGTTATATTTGGAGCACTCGGATTGATTGGAAAAGATTCCAATAGAAGAATACAAGAATAAAGAAATACAAAAAAAAAAAAATAATAATCACAAGTACAGCCCACACCATACGTAGGGTTTTATCTATGTGAAATATGTGCGATTTCTTTTTCAAAATTGCTCTGTGGAAAATGTCATGATGCCATTTCTGACTTTATGTCTTTGGTTGGGATTCGGAAGGAAATGAAACAACAAATTCAAACGAAGGCGCAGAGAATCTGGCGTTATGAAAAAAAGAAACAGATTCTTCTATCAATTCAAGATCTTCAAAGAAGATGTCAAGAAACTATCTAGAGAACAGGGGAAAAAATAAAATAGAGATAAATGACCCACCTAATATCCAGGAGTCAAGGAAATCTGGAGTAAGATGTGGGAAAACTGCAAAATATACATTGAAAGTGCTACATGGGTCAAGCAACATTAGGAAAAAACACGCACATGTAGAGTGCCAAAAAATGGACGGATCGCTACCGTCTGCAAAACCAAAACCTGGAAACACGGGGAATAGACCGAATAGCCAATTTTTGAATGAAATACCTATATAACACCTACCAAAACCTCACACGGGCATACAATGATATAATCATAAACCCAGATAAAATGCCCCAAATGGCTCACGTGGAAAGTAATATACCTACTCCACAAAACAGAAGAAACGCAGAACCCGAAGAACTATAGACCCATCACCTGCCTACCAACAACGTAGAAGATCGTTACTACTATCATAACCGAAAGGACATACAACTTAAGAAAAGCAATTTACTACAGCAGAACTGAAGGGATGTAAAAGAGGATGTAATTCTGCAAGGACCAACTAATTATCAATAAATCAATATTGAAAGAGGTGAAAACAAGGAAAAGAAACTTATCGATAACATGGACTACAGAAAGGTGTTCGACGGAGTCCCACGCTCATTAATACAGAAGTGTCTAAAAATATACAGAACGGTCAAATTCATAACAGAGAGCATGAAAACCTGGACGACCACACTAAACTTCAACCGGACAAACGGGTCATTAACATCAAGACCAATCAACATCAAAAGCTGGATCTTCCAAGGAGATTCATTGTCACCATTACTCTTCTGCCTTGCATTAGCGCCATTCAACTGCCTACTGAACAAAAGTAGCTACGGATAGAAGAATGGCAAACTTAATCACCTATTCTAAAATGATGTTATTAAAATGATTGCCAAGGATGTCAACCAGCAGAAAAACCTACTCACCATTGTCAAAACCTTCAGCGAAAACATTAGGATGGAGTTTGGAATCAACAAATGTGCCAAAATTATCTCCAAATACAGTAAACTAACGAAAACTACAGATTTATACCTTGATATTGTTGACCATGTTCACCATAGTCTATGAATATAGAATACAGCGCAGTACGTAATATTTTCAATGAAACAACGTTAAAGATTAACACTCACGAGTCAGACACTCTACTGGATCTGACTATATCGCCAATACCACCAGCAGATGTTCCGTAATTCTTCAGTCTTCAATATCAAAGGCTGGCAGTGAATATTCGGAAAAAAAAACATGGCCGCCTTTATACACGTTGCATTGAATATTTTGAGCCTTCTGATTGGTTAACCCTTCTATTGGGGAACTATAAAATGAGTCAGTTCATTTTGGCTGGCTCGCTAGTACACCAGGGTACCCAAATATTCTGACAGATATTAACATCAAAATTAAGGAACTAGGCCAAAATGGTACATACAAATACTTAGGAATTAATGAAGGAGACGGAATACAACATTCAATTATAAAGAAAAAGACCCGAAAATAATATATGCGAGTACGTCACTATCAACCACAGACAGTTACCCAAAATGACGATATAACTATCTTCTTGGAGATGCCAATTCAAACTGACAGTGAAATAACAGCCAACAAACCTAATATTCTAATAAAAACCAAGAAATTCACGAAGTTTGTGCGTATGAAATAGCAGAAACATTTGAGAGAAACACAGCCATGAAAATTATCAAAAAATTGTCCAATTACAAGGACCTGGAATCGATATTAACAGGATGTGGGAAATGAAACGGAGACTATACAAATAGTAATCGGAACTCTGGCCCTGGTGATAAAAGGAATGGAAAATTTTATTAACAACGTACAAGGTAACATCAGCATACAAGCTGCCCAGAAGATCGCCCTACTAAGAACATCCCATATACTAAGAAAAGTGCTATCAATTAAATGACAATTCTTCTATAAAGCCTAAGGACCATAATTTGAACCCGGCTCTACAGGATACAAAGCAGTAAATGTAACATACACAAATAATAATAATAATAATAACACTTACAGAAGTGCGGGGTTGAAGAAAAGAAAAAGAGAAGGCAAGACAGTGTTTAACAATGATTCGACAGGATGTCTAACTTCTTATTTGAGAAGCGTTTTACAGAGGATGGGAAGTGCGACATTGGAATCCGGAAGCGCATTGAGGTAGCATTGGGATAGCGGAAGATGCCTTCAAAAACTAAGCAATATATTAAGGAACCGGAAAATTTCGTTAGAAATAAAAAAAAAAGAAAAGAAAAAAAGAGTACTGAACTGTTAGTTACTATCAGTCCACGTATATGGCAGTGAATTCTGAACAGTCTCCTCGCAGATGAAGACGACATTTGATTCAACAGAAACGTGATTTTACACAAAGATGTTGAGAGTACCATGGACTAAACAGGTGATCATCGCATAAATTGTAGAGAAATTGGTAAAAAAGAAGACATTTATTGAAGGCAAGAGGGGCGGATGAAAACAACACATAACCTGCATAGCGAGCTTGGCTAAATGGCTAGCCGAACATGGTTTAGGATAGATAGCAAAAGGACAACATTTCTCGTGAGCTCCAAAGGAGATGGAATTGTGGAGAGCCATGATAGGACATGTTACATAGAAGATGGGGCCAGGCACACTCCGCTTGGAAGACGCGAGCAAAACAGTCTTAATGTCTTTATTTTCTATCTATTTAATATTTTAAAGCAGTTAAATATTAAGATCGAAAGACAAAATTCTTGAAAATAAAACCGACTTTCTTCTTATCTTTTCAGGCACTTTCGCTGTCGAAATTATTTGAATGACAATTATTCTTCAAAAATTACAACGTAACGTGTTTGTTATCATTTATGCCACAAGCACTGCAGCCTTTCAACTTTGTCTAACCATACTTTTCTTCAAGCTTTTTCATTTTTCATTCTTTCTTTCTTTCTTTCTTTCTTTCTTTCTTTCTTCAGTCTTCCATTTTATTTCTTCGTCAGTTTCATTATTGCTTTTCCATTCTTTCTTTCTTTCTTTCTTTCTTTCGTTCAGCATCAAAGCATTTTCTTTCTTTCTTTCTTTCTTTCTTCATCAGTCATTTCATAGTTGTTTCTTTCTTTCTTACTAATTCTTTCTTTCTTCATCGATTTCATAGTTGCTTATTTCCTCATCGTTTCTTTTTCTCTTTTTTTATTATAGTTTTTCTTTTCTCTGTATACTTCTTCGTTTTTATCTTATTTTATTGATTTTTCTTTCTTTCTTTCTTTCTTTCTTTCTTTCTTCATTGCACCTTTTTCTCTCTTTCTTAGTTCATAGTTGTTTTTTCTTTCTTTCTTTCTTTTTCTTTATCTTTTCTTTCGTTTTTTTTAGATCCCCGTTTTTTATTTTTAAATCAATTCTTTTATTTTCCTTTTTCTTTCAAAGTTTTTGTTTCTTCATTTATGCACTTCTTCCATCCTTTTTTCCAGTCTGTCTTTATCGCTCCTCTTTCTTTCTTTCCTTCTTTACTTTCTTTCTTTCTTTCTTTCTTTCTTTCTTTCTTTCTTTCTTCATTATTTTTCTTTTTTTTCTTTCTTCATCGATTTCATATTTGCTTTTTATTTCTTTCTGTCTTTTTTATCATAGTTTTTCTTTTCTCTGTATCCTTCATTTTTGTCTTATTTTATTGCTTTTTCTTTCTTTCAGTCTTTCTTTCTTTCTTTCTTTCTTTCTTTCTTTCTTTCTTAGTTCATAGTTGATATTTGTTCATTCATTCTTTGTCTTTCTTTTTTCATCGTTTCTCCCTGTTTTTTATCATTCTCTTTTCTTTCTTTCTTTCTTTCTTAGTTGCCATTTATTCATTGATTCTTTCTTTCTTAGTTGCCATTTATTCATTGATTTTTTTCTTTCTTTTTTCATCGTTTCTCCCTGTTTTTTATCATTCCCTTTTCTTTCTTTCTTTCTTTCTTTCTTTCTTTCTTTCTTTTCTTTCTTTTTGTTCATAGTTGCCATTTATTCATTCATTCTTTCTTTCTTTCTTTTTTTGTCAGTTTAATAATTGTTTTTTCTTTCTGACTTCCTTTCTGTTTTTTCTTCCGTTCTGCATCAAACCTTCTGCATTTTTTTTTATCGACCCTTTCATAGTTGTTTGAGTTGTTGTTTCTCTCTAAAACCTCATCTTTGCTCACACATTCGGTCCATGATATCCTCAGAATACTTCTGTAGAACCACATCTCCGTCGCCTCGATTCTCTTCTTCATCTTTGAGGAAATCGCCCAACATTCGCTGCCGTAAAGAAGGACAGATGTAACGCAACAGCTCAGTATTTTTTTCTTCGTTACCAAATAAATCCTTTTGTCTTGCAATACTCTGCCCAGCTTTTGGAATGCGTCCTTGGCCATCCCAATATGTCTGATTCTAGTGTTCCCGACCTGCACATCGCATTTCGGGTTCATCTTTTTACTGATGACCATTGATTCTGTTTTCTTGTACTATTTACTTAGTCCCTTCTTCGCAGTCTCTGTCGCTACCTTCTGTAGGAGGTTTTATCATTTCTTTACCGCGTCTGCTATCAGTGCTATGTTATCTGAGTATCTTATGTGGTTAAGATTATGGCCACAGACCACGTGTTCTTAAAGGAAAGGTATTTATGAGAATTAGCGTGGCGTCTAAGTGATCGCGATTTTGTACACTGTCCTCTATACTATTTCTCTATACAGACTACTCTTCAGATTTCTATTCGGCGGTTACTATTCCAAAAAATAAAAGTGTCTAGCAAAGATAACCCTCTCCCTACCAATTGCTAAAATAATAAAAATCTGCCGTCTCATCACCAATCAATGCTGTTTCACAAAATAACAATGTTTACAAAGAAAAATTTGGATTGCCAATGGGATCCCCACTCAGTGGGCTAATCGCATGTATATTCTTAGAATTTCTCGAATCTGGTTCTTTTCAAAACATTTTACCTCAATAATCAATTAATTTCCGATATATTGATGATGTTCTATTAATAAATCCCCAAATCTTGTAGATAAACTAAACAAAATCGAACACCCAAGAGAATTTACAACCGAAATAGAAAAAAAATACTTTACCTTTCTTAGAAATCATGTTTCAGCGAGTTGAAAGATCAACTAATACAAATGACCCAATAAACTTCTATTTCTATTATAACAACTGTTATATTGACTAAAGTATCGTTCTGCGTGTAAACAGTGCAAATGAAAGAGAAGTTGTGGAGGATCATGATCGCCCAATGTTATGAATGAATATGCCACATTAAAGATGTCAATGTGTTGTATTGAATAAAGTGTCGCTGACGGCACAGCAGTTTGAACACAGATCACCAGTGACCAAACACAGGTGATTCCATTTCTAATAAGTAGACCACGTGATCGTAAAAGAAAGGCATATATGGGGAATCAGCGTGGCGTCTAATTGATCACGATTCTTTATACTATCCTCTATACTATTTCTCTATAGAAATTTATATTTACTATAAATTTTTATCACTCTCTTTTCTTTCTTTCTTTCTTTCTTTCTTTCTTTCTTTCTTTCTTTCTTTCTCTTTCTTTCTTTCTTTCTTAGTTGCCATTTATTCATTCTTTCTTTCTTTTTTCATCGTTTCTCCCTGATTTCTATCATTCCCTTTTCTTTCTTTCTTTCTTTCTTTCTTTCTTTCTTAGTTGACATTTATTCATTCTTTCTTTCTTTTTTCATCGTTTCTCCCTGATTTCTATCATTCCCTTTTCTTTCTTTCTTTCTTTCTTTCTTTCTTTCTTTCTTAGTTGCCATTTTGGAATGCGTCCTTGGCCATTCCAATTCTCCCTGTTTTTTTTATCATTCCCTTTTCTTTCTTTCTTTTTTAGTTGCCATTTATTCATCGTTGTGAGATATCTTTGCCAGATATCTTTGCTAGAGCTACGGACTACTATTCAGCAGTTACTATTCAAACTAGTATTACGAACGCGAATATTATTCGTAGGAGTAACTACTAGTATCTGCGATTCCAAAGTCTCGACTACAATGAGCATTACGGACGTGAGAACGAACATTCGGTGACATCAATAAAAGTGACAACGAGTAAGCGTCTGACATCACAAAAGAATGAGAGAATGGAAACGTTGATGCAGATTTTTTTCTTACATCCTACCTGTGATATCATGGCTTGTATAGGCGTCGAGTTGATATATAAAAGTTGATTCGTGTATTTTCTTGCACGAAATCCTTTTGCTTTGCTGTTTAAGCGAAAGAAGATTTGATTAATTTTATTTGGTATAAAGCGATTTAAACACATTAAATCTTCTCACGTCTTTTATCTGCTTTACTAAGTTTTAGGTGAAAATATAACATTACAAACACTCTTCTTAAACTTCTATCTTCCTTATTGAAGTAGCACAATTCTTGGCACTTTCAACACCCGGAGCCGTCTGATCTATGATGCAGACAGTAAGAAAATACGAAAATGTTTTTAAAATTCCTCCACTATTTTAGCTATTTTCTTTACAATGCCAGATAATAAAAGTGTACCCTATTAAACCCGCTAGGTATGTCATGCGTTCATTTCCCTTGTCTCTCTTTCCCTCTATTCGACCCGTGAGTATCAGATTCTCCAGCAACCTCCTTCTTTATTACGCGTCTCAGAAACTTCGGCTGCCTCTTTCTGATGTTAAGTATCAGCCTTCTTCTTTGCATCCTCTCCAAGACCTCATCGTTGCTCACGTTGCTCGATCCATGATATCCTTAGCATTCTTCTGTAGAACCACATCTACGTCGGCTCGAGTCTCTTCTTCATCTTTGAGCAGACAGTCCAACATTCACTGCCGTAAAGAAGGACAGATGTCACGTAACAACTCAGTATTCTTTTCTTTGTTACCAAAGAGATTCTCCTGTCTCGCAATTCTCGGCCCAGCTTTTGGAATGCGTCCTTGGCCATCCCAATACGTCCACAGAGCTCAGTGTCGCACTTAGCTTGCTCTTCCATTTACCAATGCCTGAGAGAAAACAGATGGAATGATGTCTTTGCCAAGAGTAGTTTCCTGAAACTGAATACAATGAACTCGTTTCTCTAATTCCTCAACACGAACTGCTATTACTCCTCCATATCCCCTTAAAGTACAATGAAAAGGGGGTTAAGATTAAACAACACACTCAATACGCCTGTATGCTTCGTGTTCACAAATTTTGACCTGGACCATGCTGTCTAAATAAAAAAAGACGTACTGAGAAAATACGAAAACTTTTTAAAAATTCCTTCAGTATTTTAGTTATTTTCTATACAATGCCAGATAAAAAAATATACGTCTTTCACACAACTAATGAAGAAGCAGAAAGAAAGTCTAAACCCCAAACATTTCACATATTTACCCCTAAAGTTCATAACTAAGTAACCTAATTAGTGATAAAATTATCATATGTCTGGGAAATAATATAACCTCGTGCTCACCACCATAACGATAGAGATCTATGGAAGAAAGTTCTATTTTTACCTTTTGATTTCCCCCATTTTGAGCATTATTATAGCCATAATATAATAATACCGTATTTCATGTAACTGAAACGATGTATCATTCTGAACGCATTTAACAGGGTGGAATTATTTTTCTGTTCTTCGGCAGTTCCCTCGTAACTTAACACATTTGAATCAACTCTCACAGATCTGGAAAGAGTGTCTGCTATAACGTTTTCATTGCGTGTGATATAACGAATGTCTGAGGTGAATTGTGAAATATAATCCACGTGATGTATCTCTCATGGTGCATATTTGTCTGAGTTACTGTGTAAGGCATCTGTGGTTGGCTTTTAGTCAGTGTATATGTGTTGTGGCCTGTTTAGGGGCCATAAAGAAAGACACGAAAAACGAAGGTAGGTTGAAAAAGTATACTGAAGATATATACAAAACAATAGTGTTAGTAATAAGTAGATTAGCACTGCGTCTACTACTCCACTTCACTCCACTTCACACTCTGCGCTCCCGTCCGACTCTCGCAGTTTGTATTTATGAGAGAAGGAAGAGTTTATTCTACTGTAGGAGAGTTTACCACAACAATATGGCAAAATGTCAACCTTCTAAGGCATGCTGAAAGTGATTTGATATTTAAATTAACAGGATTTCTCTTTAAAAAAAGGACTATATTTCATTTGCGTTGTATTCAAAAGAAAACAGAAAGAAAATGGGTTACACTTTACCCTCTCTAGTCTGATGTAAAACAAATTAGAGATAGATTTAGCTAATCTCCACATAAAAATTTTCACAAGTACTTCAAAAATGGCTAAGAATGTGATCACTGTAAAACAAAGAGCTTACTTTAAATTAGTTGAAAGCTACCAAACAGATTGCCTCCGAAAATACATCGGTGAAACATCTAGGAATTTAAAGAAATGAATATAGCAAGATAAAAGCTGTTATCAGGGATGAAAGCTCATGAGAACTAATCTTGTTTGTCTGTGGAATTAGTAATGGTACAGCATTAGTATTTGAATCAATGAATACGTATTAAATTTTTTTCCAAATAATTCTTTTCAATATTCTTATTATCATAATAAACGAGAAAGACTACGCTAAACTGTAGAAGAAATCAAGGTTTGCTTCTCGCAATTTCGACCAAACATTGAAGAAATTCACCCTGTACAAGGCCCAAGAACCACTGGGAGTAGATGATTAGAGAGTAAGAGGCACCGCCCCAAGCAAGGAGATAATACTACCAAGTTTGAAGATGTCACAGAAATGAAAGAGAAGGAAAATGCTTTAGAAGGAGGCGAAAACCCAATCCTAAACATGAAACAAAGGAAAAAAAAACATCTACTGCTGTGTCCAAAAGACCTATCTATAGCCTTTAAGAAAAAAAAAAATTTTTCATTATTCGGACTATTGTCCTCGTCTTTGTTGTCATATTTATCACAACGTTTCGGCCCTTGTACACTCCGGACTTCTTCAGGTTGTTGGAATGTCGAACGTAACCCTTTACTTCACAGATGGACACATGGCACAGTGGATAGAGGCGTTGGTTAGATCCAGTGACAGGGCCCAAAGAGTTGTGAGTTCAATACCTGGTTAAGGCAGTGGAGAATTTGGAGAGGTGAATTAACAGGAGATAACTGACATCCATTAAACATGGCACGAGGAATTAGAACAGTCTACCCTAGTGAGCGAAATAAAGGGATCAGTTCGGCATTCCAACTACCTGAAGAAGGCCGGAGCGTAGAATGGTCGAAACGTTGTGATAAATATGGCAACAACGATGAGGACAATAGTCCGAATAATGTAAATAGTGCAAAGAAGTTCATATTTGTGCATGCATTTTAAAAATATCTATGGTTCTATTTCATAACATTTAAGTGTATACCCTCTAAAAATTTTGCTAAGTGTACCATGAAAATTTCATTCGCTCTTTCGTGTACTGGTACTCAAGAAGGTTCCGAAACACTGCCTTACAGGAACCATGACTGACCATATTTTCAGGGGTTTAGACGTACATACCACGCTTGGCCAATTTTTTCTTTTTATGTGCCATATTCTTACAGGACGTAGGCGATCATGGGTCTCTACCTCCCTCTATCCTTTGCAGCTCTCAACAAGTTCCTTCTCTCTGCTTCCTCTCTCATGCCACGTTCTGTTCATCCACTTGCTTAAGTCCGCCAGGTATGTCACGTGTTGTCTTCTCTTGTTTCTCTTTCCCTCTATTCGACCCGTGAGTATCAGATTCTCTAGGCCCTCCTTCCTCATTATGTGTCCCAGAAACTTCAGCTGCCTCTTCCTGATATTAAGTATAAGCCTCCTCTTTGTTTGCAACCTCTCTAAGATCTCATTGTTGCTCAAACGCTCGGTCCATAATATCCTTAGCATCCTTCTGTAGAACCAAATTTCCGTCGCCTCGAGTCTCTTCTTCATCTTTGAGGAAATCGTCCAACATTCGCTGCCGTAAAGAAGGACAGATGTCACGTAACAGTTCAGTATTTTTTTCTTTGTTGTCGTATCAGATTCTCCAGGCCCTCCTTCCACATTATGTGTCCCAGAAACTACTGCTGCCTCTTCCTGATATTAAGTATAAGCCTCCTCTTTGTTTGCAACCTCTCTAAGATCTCATCGTTGCTCAAACGCTCGAGCCATGATATTCTTAGCATCCTTCTGTAGAACCAATTTTCCGTCGCCTCGAGTCTCTTCTTCATCTTTGAGGAAATAGTCCAACATTCGCTGCCGTAAAGAAGAACAGATGTCACGTAACAGCTCAGTATTATTTTCTTTGTTACCAAAGATATCCTCTTGTCTCACAATACTCTGTCCAGTTTTTGGAATGCGTCCTTGGCCATGCCAATACGTCCACGGATCTCAGTGTCGCACTCCGTTTGCCCTTCCATTTACCAATACCTAGAGAGTAGTTCACTGAAACTGAATGCAATGAACTCGTTTCTCCAATTTTTAAATCCGAGCTGGTATTACTCCTCCTATATCCCCTTAAGGTACAATGAAAAACGAGGTTAAGATTAAACGACACACTCAATACTCCTGTATGCTTCGTGTTCACAAATTTTAACCTGGACTATGCTGTATAAATAAAAGAAAAACAATTTATTCAAACAATTGTACATTGAAAGTACTGAGATTATCAACCCGATGATTTATCCACTGATAACAGATCAGATTATCTTCTCATAATATATCAATTTAGCGCCTGTTTGTACAAAAGCAAAAAGGCATGCGTGAACCCATATAAAACAAGTGAATATCTATATTATTAACTTAAAAAAATAAATTGATAGATTGTTTCTTTTTCTACGTCTTGTCGAC